CGTAAATGATGGCCGCCCTCTGTGCTTCCGTTAGTTCTTTTCTCGGCATTTCGTGTAGATCGCCTAAAAAAAAAAATAAATTAAATTAAAGTATAATAAATTAAATAAATACATAAAAATAAAGAAAAATGTAAATAAATAACTACATAACTATGACTTGTTTATAATATAATTTCGCGTAAATTGGAAGTCATGGGACTTCCCAAAAAATTTTTTTTTTAAACTGTTTGGTGACTTTTGGCCACCCACTGTATATTTAATATATCACTTATACTTAATATATTACTTATACTTGATATATCACTTATAGTATATCTAATATACTTATCAAATTACTCTTATAATTTTATGCCATTTATTTCTTATATTTTTTCTATAATAATATAATAAACAAATTAATAACTACTTTTGCTTTAATCAATCTTGTATAAAAAGCAAATATCTAAGTTAACTGTATTTAATCTAATTTTATTTATATTGTTATATATCTTCTTACCTCAGGAGAAAGATATGGACGGAGAACTAATAGCAGGGAGACACTTTATATGGATAAACCAATGTGGTATGCTAAAGTTCATAAGGGTGTACTAAAATTAGTACAATTCTGAGGTGTATGAGGTCAAGCGAAAGAGGCAATGGTGATTTGTTTTACAAAGGTCAAGTTATTTATTAATAAAGAGGAAAGTTCAACCTTGCAATTCCAGGAGGAATTGGAGGTGTTTATATATATATTTTAGATATATAATTTGGTACAGGATAAGTATATGCTATGGTAGAAATATAAGTTAAGGTATAGGTACTATTTTCGTCAGAATATTCAACTATGCCATCATTTACATAGATAATTACTTTGGTGAAGATAATACAAAGAGTAAATATGAAATAAAAGAGAAATATTCTAGAAATGGTAAATGTGCATTATGTGCAATATGTGCCGAAAGTGCAGTAACAGATCTGTAATACAAGACTATTCTAGAATGGACAATATTACAAGAGTAAATGCTACTAAAATTGAACAAGGGATAGTGAAGATCATTAAGCGAAAATCAAGTATAACAATATATATGTTTATGGTTAACTTATTTATATTTGACTAGCTATATATTATTTAGCTTAATGCTATATATACTGTAATTACTATCTAAACTATTGTTTTCAGAAAGATGCGCGAATTCGTCTTAATTTTTCCAGAACAATTTTATTAAGAGTATTCTGATTATCAGGCCATCGATTACAGTATTCTGAACTCTGATTTTCGGTCTTTCAGAGTGATCCACGGTTTTTACCTCCCACCAAAACCTTCTGATAATAAAGTCTGTGAAAAAGGGTACAGCCAAATGCTTGATTAGTATCCTTTAACGCAACCATTAAGAATCCTTTAGAAGCACTCTACCAGTTTGGGATCTACTTTTCTTATTACCATTTCTGGCAATGTGATCGTGTCAAAGATAATCCTAGTTGATTTCGGACAGTCGATTGTATTACAATCTATTTATAGACCAGTTTTCTATAATTAGAAGTATCAGTTATTATATGGTTAGGCCAATGGCATATAGGTTTCTACATTATTTTGGGGAATCACATTAGCCCCCTAGTGGAATTGAATCTGTAGCTTGTGATACAGATCTATGGCGTTCTAACTACTAAGCTATAGACTTATAGGTCATCGATATAATCTTAGATTTTATTATTTAAATGAAATTGAAACTATAAAAGATGAAAAACATTTTGATGATACCCATGATAATTATTAATTCTGATTATGCTATATTTTTTTTTTCTTTAATAGTTTCCATTTCGCAAGTCTATTATTGCAGGGTTAATTATTTTCATAGTTGGTTCAAAAATTCCTTTTAATTATTTGATTATTGATAATAACTTTTTTTTTTCATGTAGAGCTCAATTGTCCTGAATATGTCGATAAGATTTAAAATCTTCTATTTTTTTTTACTACCGATAAATTTTAAAATAGATTATTCAGATTTAAGATAGAATCATTAAGGGGGGTTTTTTTTTTTGCATATATACATTTTATTGTTCTCAACGGCGAGTCTGTCACTAATCTGGACCAAGACTCGTATGACATTGGGAGAGTGGGTTTATGTTGCTGGTGATATCAAAGGTACGTATGGTGATAATTATCCTTATTTTCCTCTTCTCTAGGTTGGTTCCTTTTCTAATCCTTTGCTGCCAAACTGCAGGGCTTGTGGATTTTTTCTAGGATAACTTAGAGACAAATAAGATAAGTTTATTAATTATAGTTGCACTAGCACACAATTGGATTTACAGCAGATGATATTTTACTAATTCATTATTTGATCGCGTCTCTACATTATAATTGGATATCATTGCTATTTATACATGATTGCAACATGTCCCTAAATCTATCGTTGCGTTATGCAGAATTATTAAACTTTTACAAGTTTTTGCGCCTATTGGTTATGCATGATTAATGCATGATCAATGCCCCATGCGACACTGTGCCAGGTCTCATATGTCACGTTATACCCCCTACTATAATTTCTATACTAACAATATGTAAATATTAACTTTTTTTTTTTTTTTTTTTTTGATAGCAGAAATTGTTAACTTCGAAGTCTAGAGATTGTTTATTTTTAATAAAAATTTAGTCCAATTTAATTGTTATATGCTTTTGATATGCTAATTAATTTGGACATAATGATAAGATAATGTATTAAAAAGGATGCTTTCTTGTATCTATGGATATTAGAAATATCACAATCGTGCTTTTCGCTGAGATTAGTTATACTTTTGTATGAGAGATTTATTAAGCTGATGCTGGAATTTTTGAATAACCATACACCTAAAATTCTAAAATTCAATATCAACGAAATATATAACATAAAATTATCACTTTATCTTAAATTCGTATGTTATGAATCATATGACTTTACACGATTTGTAAAGGTCAGAATTTCAGTTTTTATAATGGACAGGAGGTGCTGGGCTGTGACATTTTTTGTCACAGGATCCGAACTTTTGGGGCCACTCTGGTGTTGTCCATTTGCCCAATAAAATGCTCTGAAATCACAATAAGGATTTGTGGTTTTTATTAATCAAATTTTATTTTGAAAATTACATTATTTGTCCAGATGCTTCAAATTTTGAATAAAGTAAAATTCGATTTTCATATACCGTACACTTACATTTTTTTGAATTTTTGATTTTGAAAGTTGATTGAATTAAATTTGTTCATAATTCATCCTATGTATTTTTGGGAATTCTTCTATGTGATTTAAGGCATAGTGAAATAATAAAGAATGCCCATGAAAACTATATGCATTATTGGATAACAGATTGTTACACACGAAAGTTACACAACTGGTGTGTCTGAAAATTTCTATTTTTCATAAGGAAATTTACAAAAACAGCTTTAATCAATTAAGGAAATATATTTTTTAATAGAAAATTTTACATTTAGTAAAAATTTCACCAAATTTTTATGAAATTTTATTATTTTATTTAACAATTTATATTTCTTTAAAATTACATAAATTATATAATGATTTCTCTAAATTTTTAAAAAAAAATCTATTATGAATAGAATTCATTATAACAAATATGTTTACTTAATCTATTAAGGCCAATTTATATAATAAAATAAAAACTTTTGCAAGAAATCATGATTATAAATTGATAATAATAATTTTGAAATTTAATTTTTTGTTAATGACAAATTTATTTATTAAATAACTTATTAAATAATTATTATAAAATTATAAAATTTAATAATAGGTAATTTAAAACCTAATAAACAAGATTTTATTAATTATATATTGTTTTTTGTTAAAATACTAGTTTTGGAAATAATATGAATATTATAATCAAAAAAAAAAAATCAAAAAAAAATCGCCGCATAAAATGTAATTATAAATTCTGATAATAAACTGTTGATAAAAATTAGTGAAACTTTCACTGTATATATATTTAGTTGTCTATATTATATTTACTTAATACGAAAAAGTAGATATGATTAATAAAATAAAAAGTTTAATTTGTGGTAACATTTACGTTAAAAAAAATTTTCGGATTTTTTCGAAAACCCCCGTGTATCAGATTTTCTTTTATCGAGTAAACCGGGACCCGGAAGATTTTCGACTATATACTATAGTAACTAAATTTCGTATTTGTCTGATATTACTATTATTCATAGCCAAAGTTTAAATGAACTGATTATATTTTTTAAATAAATAATTTTTGTTTTAAAGGTTCCACAATTGTTACAATTTACTCGATCGCCTCATTTGTGAATTTCCAGTGTCAAAATGACAGCGTACAGCTTTTTAACGGTGAGCCCGTCGCCACCTTTTCCTAACTCTCGTACAACGTAAAATCTCTTTAGGTATGTATTTTTATAATTTAATGTACAACGAAATTACACATATTGTTTTTTATGATATGATACCTCGAAATATATTGTTGGATATTGCGTGTTTACACTCACAGTCCATCATTATCTCTAACATCAGAGGGAGAGTATTTGTTTCCTCAATATGCTATATAACGTAACTATTTTTTAAGAAAAAATATTTATTATTTAATTTTGAGAAGTACTGTACGTGCGTTTTTAATTTTTTTTTAAAAAAAATCCAAAATTTTCCATATAACAAAAGATTTACCATAAAAAGAAGAAGAAAATAATTGGGTAAAATAAGATAATTAAAAGAATGATCTAAAATAGTAAAGTATTTGAAACACTTAGAAAAAAAAAGCATCGCGGGTTTATAGGTCTTGGAGAACACATTCTCATGGTTCCTGTATTTAATGCACAAATTGATTTAAAACCCCTAAAATTACGTCGCATTTTAATTAAAGAACCCTCTTCACAATTTAAAATAAATGTAGATATTAATAGGTGACATAAATGTATTAAAAGAGAGCTAGAACCTTTTTTTGGAAGAAAAAAGCTGATGACGGAGATCATAATTTTCATACTGTAATTCGTTGACCTTAGTAAGAAGTTCGTTGTTTTCAAGAAGAGTGACGTGATAGTTGTATTCCGTATCAGAAAGTTTAGATTTCAAACCCTTGATTTTTTCTTCTGCAATATAAAGTTTAGATTCTAAATTGGAAATTTTAGACTCTGTAGCAGAGGTGTCGGCTTGCGTGGTTAAGAGCCGACATCCTAACTGATGATCATTTTGGGTACAGTTAGAATCATTGAAAAATTCACTATAATTCAAGTGCCATTATTCACATGTAATTATATATTAAATTGTTAATGTCAGATTAGAATTACGCGAGAAAAAAAGAATGAAAATTATTGAATTTTAGTTTAAATTCATTAAGAGAGAAACATAAATTATAAGAAAAAAATATTTAAAGACAACCTTATACGAAATTTATGTGTTCCAGGAATTTTTTGTTGATGTCGTTTCATAATTTTCAAAGAGTAATATATGAATGGCAAAATGTATGGATAAAAAAAACATCAAGAGAAAAATTTAATTTATAAGAGGAAAAAAATTTTTTTTTTATTTAATTTTCTTCGGCACGTCCTGTCACTTTTACCGTTTTTATTGTATCTAAAAAATTACTATATTCGGATATTGATGGTACATATTTATTCGATTGTTTGTGTCATATGCTCGCTGCAAAAATATCCTAATACAATGCGTTATTTGTGTTACCCTGGGAACATTCTCACGGAAGCGGGCAATCGGGTAAATTGCTAAATTCCGAATTTGGTACAGAAGTCAAAGAGCGAAATTTTATCAATATAAGCCAGGCGAAAAAAGCGGTTTTTTTGTTATTGAAAATTGCACAGCTGAAAATTATTGCAGGTACACCTGTAATATTTTTTATAGAATTAATAGATAAATTTTTCATACTACACGTAAAAAACCCATTTCGATATATAATATAATAAAGGTAGTTTTCTAATTTCAAATCATTGATCTGTTAAATTTAATAAAGTTCTTCGACGATAAATTGATTTATTACACCTAACTTCAGGGTATTGAAAGAAAGATTCGTATATGGATAACCGGATTATAGAGTTAAACCACGTGGCCGATGGTGGTTCATCCAGGGTTCTGAAAAATCGTAGATAGAAAATCGAATGAAGCTGATAGAGAGGTATATATTGTTTCGAATACCCTTTCTTATTTATAACAATAAATTAACTACTGTGCAATTATAGCTTAAAGCTTATTCCGAGATAAAATCACACGAAAACATTATCAAGTTTTATGAATCACGTCGTGGTAGATTTAAAATTTTTACAGATGCTGTAATTTATACGTTATAAAATTATTATTAAATTAACATCATTTTATTTATTTTTAAGAACCAGATGGATTCTATACATTTATTTTAGCATATTCGGAGTTGGGAAGTCTACGCGAGTATCTGACGAAAAATCCCCAAATCACGTGGGAAGAAAGAATTGACATTGCGAAAGGAATCGCCCACGGGTTATGTCATTTACATGAAAATAGCGTTCTGCATAGAGACCTGGTAATGTCACACTTTCTTGTTGTATTAAATAATTAGCACCGTAAACCACTACATACAATACCCCCTTGATTAGTACCGTTCTCGATTTTTTTAATAGTAAATTTTCTGGTGGAATGATTAATACTCGGGGTATTGTATGTAGTGGTTTATGGTACTAATATCTTAAATATTGAATTTATTTTTTAACACTATATACTGTATATTTATTTATTTAGCACTCTCGAAATATTGTTTTGTCGATATCTGACGGAAAACTGAGAGCGAAGATAATTGACTTCGGAATGTCAATAAATTTACTATGTAAAAGATTAGAGACTTCAGAGGTTAAAGGTGTACCAGCATTCATAGATCCAAAGATTTTGGATATGGGATCTTATACTGATTTTACCGCAAAGTCGGACGTTTACAGCTTGGGAATGGTTTTGTGGGAAATCTCAAGCGGAACAGTGCCATTCAAAGGCTTAGATCGTTGTGGTATTGTAATTACTGTACTACATGGTCAAAGAGAGAAACCGACTTTAGACACTCCGTGTGGGTATATAGAGATATACTGTACCAGCAATGTTGGATCGAGAACCCAGATCGACGCCCAAACGCCAAACAGATACATGATCAACTCAATAAGGACACAATAATCACTGGAACCGTGTTCACAGGGGAGATGGAAAAATGCTGCAGTCAGCACCTTCATAATTTGTGAACAACTAAATTATAAAAGATGTTTTCGGATCAGAAGCTACACTTCGCGAAGTTCAAAAAGCTGCTCGTGATTTTGTTACGTGTGTATCAACTTTATTTGAACCTGAATTTAAATATATCTTTTTATGTAAGTCTTTATCTTAACGTTATTTTAATAATTAGATCTATGATGATCCCATGACCGAAAATGTTGATGCCGTCGCGCTACTCGTTTATAGATTGTATTAATTTGGAAATATAACGGTTTATATTAAACATATTACATAATGCTTTATTAAATTATTGTATTGTTGATCTTGATGCGTGCATAAGAAAATCCTGTTCCTTTCAGGTCCTACTTCTGGTTCTCTATACGTACATTGAGTACATATTAGTGATTCAGTAGGAATAATAAATAATGAGAGTTTGTTTTTTAAAACTAGTCACTAGATATAAGGTGATTGATTAGTAAAATTTCACGATGTAATATCTAATTAACCTTAATAATCATTTTAGTAATAAAATAATAATAATAATAATAATAATAATAGTGAGTTTAAAAAAAACTCCCCAAATAACTTGATGAGTTTCTTTATTTATCGATCAATTTTCTATTTTCAATAATAAAAGTATTTGTGAATTAAGAATTATAATATATTTTATATTAAACCAATATAACATCTACAGAGGGTGAACAAAAGTTTATGGACAACTTTAAAAATTAAAAATAAAATAAAATTAATAAAAAATTAAATAAATAAAAAATATATTTAAAATCTTTAAAAACTAAACTTTTAAATAAAAAATTTTTAAAAAAATTATGCAATAGTTTTTGAAAAATTAAATTTAACAAATTTTTTAAATTTCTTATTTAATGGCTATAATATGTAAAAAAAAAAAAAATTATATATATTTTTTTATTTAATTGCACATTTTTTATTAATTTATGTTCTATTGATTTATAAATATCTACACAACTAATTATATTTTTTTAATATTTTGTAATCCTTCGTGGCGTGTGGCCTTGCATTATCATGTTGAAATCAAAGGCAACTACCATACATGTGGTTGTATTACCATAAAAGGAAATTTTATCTACAATATGATTCCAAATTAAATACAAATTTCAATTATTTATTATATGTTACTTAGTAATTCTACCATAATATGATTTTTGAAAAATGGTTGAATTCAATTCCATCATATACTGTATATAGTGACTACTATAATTTCAATTAGTTCCATTGAAATTTCAAAGAGCTGTCAGAAGATGATCTTGAAGAGTTATGATATATGACTTTGCTATAAGGAAAAAAAGGTATATCTAATTTTTTTTTATTTAATAAACTAATTTTATCTTACCTTTAACTAAGATATAAAGAAGAATAAGGAAGCCATTACCAAACTATGAAAAACACTCCAATACATATGGCCTAGATTATTATTAACAATGGCAAAAGGATATTGAATATTTCACTCTTCATATATATTACACCAAACATGACATTTATTCATTTGCTAGAATTGAATAAACGTAGATTCATCACTCCAAACTATATATATGTTCATATTACTATAAAAGAAAATTTGATCGACAATACAATTTTGAATTTTTTTTTTTAAATTGCGAACAAAGCAAGAAATACAAGACTTTTATTAATTATATATTTAAAATTTATACAATTATAAGATCAATAGATCGAGATTACATCAAGTATTGATAATTAGAGTATTACTAAATTACAAATATTCACTTAGATATAGTGATTTACTAAACTTTTCAGTACTCAAAGAGGCTTATTAAGAGAAGTAAGGATGGATAGTACTTGCTTTATCCATGAACAGTATTAGATAATGTTGGAAGATTGTTATTGATTTGATAAATTTCATTGATATAAATATTTATTGCTAAGCCAATAATATTAATAGAGTTAATTTTTAAGAAACAGTTTAGAAGTAACTCGGTAGGGAGAAGGTTTTTTTTTGGACAAATTGTTATTGGGTTGGATTAATAGTCTTTTTCCACTGAATACCCGAAGAAGGAAAGGTATTGGCTATCACTGATCTTAAAATCCATATGTATTTAAAGATAATTTCCAATATTTTTTTTGCTATTGAACCCTTATGTTTGTTAAATAGATCTATTGGAGGTGACGAGATGCCAGCCATCCATTCGTATAGTAAGGATCTGATAACTGATATATTATTAATGATATTTTTTGCTTTTGTTTTATTTTTAACTTTATTGCTTTTGTTGTTAAGGTTATTGATTAAAGTTAAAGTTATTATTTTTTTGTTTTTATATTCGAGAATAATCCAATTCTTGAAGCAGGCAAAGATGTGATCAAAATATTCTAGTACAAAATT